GATTAGATCCTTTTCACGTTTTTACTGCTCCGATTTCAATTCAACAGACTAAATGACCAATTAAAACCAAGAAACAGGGGTATATGTTAGAGACAACAACACTTCTCACGCATTGTTCTCCCTTCTTTTTTCAAAATTGAAACGTTAATTTACGCATTTTTCAGACTTATACTACTAGGCCAAGGGTGCTCAACCTTTTTAACGGGCGGGGCGCGCCCGTCGGGCCAAAAAGGACGATTCGGACCTTTTCGGCGGGTCACTGACGATGATCCTTGATGACGGAAGTAACTACTTCTTTCTTTCTCACAATCCTTCGTTCCTTTGTTTTTGCCGCGATCTACCTTTAAAAAAATGCGCGAGCTCGCAATACCGCTTATAAAACGACATACCAATACTTATAATTAACATTTATTTACTGCGAAGAAATAGGCTTCAAATGTGATTATTAGTCAATTTCAAAGACGCAGCGATGGTTTTAATGCGATACTTCCTTTCAAATGGACAAATACGCTTTAAACAATTGTGAGCCAAGTGAGCGTGCCGAGCTCGCCTTCGGCTGCCGAGCGTTGCACATGATGACAACAGGATATAGAAGCGTACTCTACATTCAGCGGTGTTAGGATGATTATACACTCGTCCAAAACAATACTGAGTGCGTAACGAGCAATATGAAGTCACTTCAAAAATACAATCTCAATACCTTTTATTTAAGAATCAAGGGTGTTTTTTAGAACAACAATCAGGAATACAAAAATAGCTTAAATTCCTTGCTACATTTGCTAACAACAGTTTCCACGCGTTAAGTAAGTAATTGAAAGTTGTATTTTATAAACAATTTCGTTTGCAATATGAGATAAGTGTGTTTAGGAATAATCCTTACAAGAGTAAGCTTATGGTTTTAAATTATAGGTGGATCAGAAGCACCAAAAGAAGATCATACAATAGTGACTGCCTGTTCGATAGGCATAATCGTGGCGCTACTTTTAATACTGTGCGTGTTGTGCCATCGAAAACGGCGACGACGTCAAAGGCCACATCAACGACCGTTTCCGTTACCAGTTCCTGGCGGTTCAGCACGAAGGCCACCTCAACACGTGTGCGAAGAGTTAGGAGAACGTTTCGCTAGTGTTGACAGTGTTTGATGGTGGCTTCCTTTCGGTTGTTATCGTTACTGCCGTCGTCAGCAATATTATACACTAACAGGGTCGAAAATTACTTGAAACCGTATTTATATTAAAGTAAATGTTGGCTTATTTTCATTGTCTTTAAGAAGCTATTGACAACGCTAATAATAAAAGATATTTCTACTCTCGGCATCAACTTCCTTAGGACATTTACTAGATTTAATACGACAATCGAGAAACGCTTTCAATTAGACGATTACACTAAAGTGTACAAACAGGGTAATTTCATTTTTGTGCAGTTTTGGTACGCGGCTGGAGCTTATTTTTTAAAGACTAGTGAAACGTTACACTCAAATCTTAGCAACAGATTTGTCATTTACCTAGCAATAGATACGCCACCAATGGATTTTCAGTTTCATGTGGATTAAGAAGCGGAGAGTAGAGAAATAATGGTTGATTGGACAATCATGAACAATGTATTGCTGGCGGCTGGCATAGATCCGTCTTCAGCAAAACATGTGCAGTCAATAAATACATCGGTATTTCTAAACAATTTTTAAAAAAATGTTCACGATTCCTGGTTTAATATAACAATAATAATAAAATGATTTAGAATACGATATTGATATTAATAATAATTACTGCGTGTTGTAGTGCGAGGTATACGTAAGACGTTATTGTATTTCCGTGAAACAATACTTACGCGTGATGTTAGATGCACTTATTGAACCTAGAAATGTTCCTAGGTCAATTGACCTTTTAAAAGTATAATTAAAAAACGTTGGGCAGAAGATTTTTGTACGTCGTTTAATTGTAACACCTCTTAGAAATCACAACTTCATTTATACGTTTTCAATAAATAGGTAGATTTTGCACATTCGCACAAACGTATTGAACGGAAGTATTTAAAATATAGAGAGGTTTTACATGAACCGGCGTTAAAACCTATATTATTAATATTTTACACGTGCTGGTGCTCCAAATTTTATTTTTACAACGAATATGATTTCTCTGGCACACAAAAATGAAAAACTAGTGTAGTGAACTGCCAATGGAGATTAAACTGTGCATCTCTATAATTCTGTGTGCAATTTTCGTAGCCGTCGTTATAAAACAAATTGAAATAAACTCTGTATCTTATACTGTTTGTTCTTATATTGTTATTAAAACAGTGACTGATGAGTGCGATTTAAGAGCATCAATGGAATACGTACGAATATTTTAAACATATAGTTATTATTAAAATATGCTCAGTTAAATTGATTCTTGACTTCTTGAATTAGTGTAGGCAGTGTTATTTTAAATTACCTACCTATTACAATCAAAGTTGACAATGAACCATGGCGCTACTCTAAGTAATTAACGTGTAGATCATTACATTTATCTTCATACATTTTCTCTTCTAAACTCGAAAGAGATGTGCATATTGGTCTTGACTTGACATGTACTTCCCAAAACTTTCTATTTTTTAACATAGATAATATAGTTAAAATTGCAATGGTCGATTCGGTTCGATCTCGCAATACTAAATGCCCTTCCGAAAATTAAATTATCGTATTGCAGAGCCAATACGCGAAGAAACCTTTATTTAAAATGCGTTTGCACCTGTTTTGTATAGTAGATATTCTATATAGATGATGTTAAATTTCTTATCGGGCTTCCTGTAGAGTCTTAAATAGCGTGTAATAATTGAGAAAATCAAGTGCATGCTGCTGCACAAATATTTTATGAATTGCAAAGCACTGTGAGTCATTGATAATTTAACTGAGTATAATATTATAGCGTGTCTACTAGAAAATTGTTTCAATTTTGAACAGTAAAGACAATTCAAATATATTTTCAATGTAGTTTACTAGTTAATAAAATTTCTATGGTTTTTACTGGCACTGCAGAAAACGTTGTATGTAATCAATTAGGTAATATAAATTATAGTCGTGAGGCTGATATAAACTGATGGTGTAAAATAATCTATGTAAAACTAACCTAAACGTGTTTGAAATAATGCAATGGCTGAAACACAATTGATTATTTGTTTGGTAGTAACACATAAAATGGCACTAACGTTTTGTAAACATATATTAGTTTTTGGAGAAGCACTAACACCAATTCATCGATTTATGTGTAACATTGTCTTCCTCAAATCAGTCATTGTATTTTTTTCAATATAAAAATTATTCGATATTTTAGAGATAGTTAAAAAGATATCCTAATAATTGCAACGTTATCAGTTTGCCTTCTTTTAGCACTGCATTATTGAACAGACTGTGAGTACCGTAAATATCTCAAGATTACGTTTTTAGATATCAGCACTATTAATATACACGAAAATTAATGCTTGCATTACTAAAGACTAATATGTATTGTCTTAAATATAAGTTACTGAATCATACATTTCATTTTTAATTACAGACTGTTCAATAAATTACAAATATTATATAGATAGAATTTTTAAGTCTAGTAGATTTTGTTGGATGCAGTAGCAAATGCACAAGGTATCGTATGAACGGGCCTCGGCCATTGTTATTTAGGATGTAATATTATTTTTAAAGGTATCTATTCGCGATAGATATATTGTATGTATGTATTCATACATAAAGCAATTGTGCAGTAGTGACGGTGTTCGTGTTAGATACATATAGTCAATCACTATCATCACAAAGTATTCACCTATCGACTGATAGAAAAGTTTCATAGGTTTACAATATCTTTTTAATTATATTTCAGTGAAAGTCTCTCAAAACGGGTATATTAAATATTGTGTAACGTAGACACCTTATCAACGAATCATCCATATAAAGATCCACTCGCATTTGGATCACCCATGCAACTTCATTTTTTTTTAATTTTTACCTCATTACTTTATCATAACATCACACTATTTTTTTGAGTACTTATAATAATGACGCAACAAAGTTTTCTATTAGTAGATATACTGAGCACCGCGCGGCTTCCATATTAATGATAAAACACACACGTGCAACTGCACACTTTGTTAACGATTCTAGAAAAAGCTCAAAAACCAAAAATGGAGCACAGTACCAAAAGTATGCGTTTATACGGCATTTTAACGAGACAATTTGTTCACTTTTAGCGTGAATAGAAAATATCCGTACCTAATTTAATACGTATAACGTACTTTTGGTCAAAAATATTTAGTAAGTTAATAACTATTATTTTCAGGTCAACGAGGAATTTGTTGATTTGTATAAAACTTTAACCTCGAGTTCTGAAAGTAATCTTTATTACAAGGTTACGTAATTGTACCTATTTAAGAAAAAAATTCTCATCTCATCAATATGTTATTTGTTAACTTAAAGCTGTTAAGTACTGTTAAGATTGGTCGCAAATTGTAATATATTGTATCAAGATGCTCACAGCGACTAGCAACGATAAATAAAAGTGTAATCTACTGTATAGTGATTTTTTCTTTCGTAGCATTTCGGCGCTGAAAGTAGGTAAAGGAAGAGTTGTAGTAGTAGACAATATTATAACTTACCCGTTGTGAAGATTGTCACTAAGCTTTACTGTTGCGCTTAACTTTCAGGGGTTCAAACACCTCCGAATTTAAATTTTCGTAATATATGGCAATTTTGTTAAAGCTAAATTTCAGTCAGCCTACTAATACTATCATTTTCTCGCAGTTTTCAGAATGTCATTGCAAAATTAGGGGAACGGAGGGTAATTGCGCCCACCTAAGGAAAAAAATTAATTTTTCTGATAATATAACCATGTTCCAAATAATTCCGATGCGTATGGGTAGTTAATCAATGCTAAAAATTTAGAATTTGGACTAGCAACCATGGGATCTGTGAAATGGATTACAAACATTCTCGTAAAATCCGACACTATCGAGCAATACCGCACAGATATGGGGTAATGGCACATAGCAAGACAAGTAAGTAATAAATAGGAAATTATCTGAAAAATAAAAACCAATTATTTTATTTCTATACTGCGTAAAGCCGAACAGTGTGTTCGGTATTACCCGATACCTGCATAAGATCGTGAGTGAAAAATTAGTTATTCATGATAGATGTAAAGCTAACTGTATAACCATGAAATAAATAACACTAATTTAATAAAGAATTTTTCCATAATCATTTAGGTACATATACCTTATTGTGACATATAAGGTAAAAATTTCTACGAAAGGCAGAGGGGTCCACATTAATATAGTACCGTATAGAAGTAACGACCGGAGGGGTGATTGATCTGCCTTAGTGGATTTTATTCATAAAATCAAACTAAATATTTGACCGTATATAAATTCATATAAAATTCTGTTTTCCGCTGTCTTATCCTCTGTGCCACCCTTTTCCTCGTTGACGTTAACCATGGTCGTGTACAGTATTGTGATTGAAAAGCCTTGATAGACCTCTGGGCGAGAAGCGAGTGTCCTTGTTTCTTCCCATAGTATATTACCAAATGGGCTTAGATCCCCGAAAAAAGCCTTATAAAAAAAAAATTTGTTTTTGATTGTCTTGGCGAATTTCATCTTGCGAGTCGAAATTTCGTTTTGCAATTTGACATTTCGTGTTGCAAGTCGAAATGTCGTGTTAACTGTCGATAATTCTGGCGCATGTATTTAGCTTGCTGGAATTGGTATTTGAAGTTATCCAGTGTAAAACACACCGTGATTCAGGATTCCTTCAGGATCATGAAATACCATTTTAAAATTCATCAAGCTACACTACATTAAGAAGTTATCCCTGTTTAACTACTATTTATAACCAAGAGAGGGAATTTGCCCAATTTCCATAAGTTAAGTCAACCGAGGCCACCCTTCAATTTGTTATCAAATTTCTAAATTTTTATGACACAAGGACATACTCGAGGTATCGCTTCCATAATTATGCGTTTCAGTCGAGAATAAGAATCAAAGTTTTAGCTTGCACAAGACACATAAAGGAAAATGGAGAAGATAAGCGAAACCGTACATTTGCATATAAATCGATCAACTCAAATACAATTGGATGATAATTTAAAGAGAAAGAGCGAGGTTTAGATTAACTTAAATTGGGTCCGGACTCTTCACCATCACGGGTTTAATATTTTCGAAACACTCACTTTTTGCGAACTTTCAGAGAAATACACTTTCCTAAAATTATTTATTTATTTATTATAGGAAAATACGCTCTTGGCTTGATTACCCCCAACCCAAACACTCGCTCATCAGCCGGGTGGCTAGAAAAATTCATGTTCAGGACAACTCAATCTAGAAGTAGAAGTCCTTAAGAAAACTTGTCCTTGGATTAAAACCAAATTCCAGACTCCTTCATATTTGTGACCATATTGTCACGAACCGGCTCGACACCATCAGGTGAATTCACCTCCGAAGGTCATCCTACGACTACGAATGGTAAAAGGTTTAAAAAGAAAAGTTCGTCTCGAACACGAAGTTCCATAAGGGCGATCACTATGATGTGCTTATATTCGAGCCTTTTTTGAATAAGAACGACAGTTAGTGGGCATTTTGGCGGCGCCCTTGAATATTGAAGATTACGAAAAATTTTTGAAGTGAAACACCGGGCGGAGGAGATAAGAGAACCTTTAATTTTAAATCAAATCATGATAAAGAAAATGCTTACTTGGAAGTTTAACTATTACCGAAGTTATAAAATAATGTCAAGAGTGGGAATGCAGTAAATTATTGCTTATTATAACTACCTGTATTTTTTTTACAACGAGCATTCTTTGTAAGATACGAGTAGAGTAGAAATGGTACTTCAAAGTAGCTCGGGATTTAGGTGTTACGGCTGCGAAGAACCCTGCACATTTCAACAGGATATAAAGGATTACAATTAGTTAGAGTCGTTAAAGGTGTATTATTACCAAAATTATTATTCTAGTGCATTCTACTGGTAGAAACATTTGGCCACTTCTACTATTTGATGCATATATGCTTCATATACTAATAGTGTAATTAGTATATTGTACCTATTACGAGCACCACAAGTAAAAGGTTAAAGATCGTCGAAATTACCGATCAGTACTTCCATAAGATACTCTTTGATATTGGCAAAGAGTAGTAAGTACTCTTTGATATTGGTATGTAATATCGTAACTACATTTAAAATCAATTACCTAGTAATAATTAATATTGAGCTGCAATACAATGGAAATATTTTGTTAAAAGGTTTGGATGTACAACATATAAAGAAAAGAATAGGTAGGTATATATACACTATCTCATACATTAATCGTATATAACGACGATCGTTAGCTTTTAGACCTTAAAATGCTGAGGGAATCAAGATACTAACATCTGCATTATAGTTCATATAAATTTCCAGCTATTTTAACTCTATGCGTTGACGACATGTTTAAAAATCTGAAAAGATGTGTAATAACATACTTTATCAAACCTTTTGCAGCTCACACAACAATTCACGGGGTTCCTTTGGTGGTTACTCCACGGTTGCATCCATTGGAAAGGTAAGTGTCTGTCAATCTCGCAGTGAAAACACATCTCTCATCGGTAGATTATTTTGGATAACAACGATCTTACTTTCGGCAACGGGTGCGGCTTCCTTAATAGTATCAAATTGGCAAAGATACAATGCCAATCCAACCGTCGTTAGTATACAGAAAGACTTCCGAAACTGGAATAATTTGCTGCCCTCTGCAACGGGATGCTTCAAAACGAAGTACTCTCAGGAGTTGATGGATAATTATATCGAGCAGTAGTTATATGGTCTTTCTCATCTGTATATTAAAACATTTTGTTTAAGGGCTTGGGGAATCATGGTGAATGACACGAAGTACGAGTATTATGCGAAATTTGTTAAAACTGTTGCAAATGTTTCTTACCACAGTCTTGACGCATTTGCGAAGTTCGCATCGGACAAGAATTTAAATAAAGTTAACTTGCTCGAGTTAGCTGCAAAGGTATTACCCATAAAGTTTAGGAAAGTAATTAATTGCAGTGAGTTAAACTAGGTTCATCCCAAGTTAACAGGGACGCTAGTCACGTATGATCCGAAGCGCAAAACGGATTGGAAGCTAATTATGGCGGAGCAAGGAATATGTTTCACAGTCAATAATAAGTTTGCCAACGTGTTGACATTTAAGTATGCCAGAGTGTATGCGTTTTCAGCTTTTGTTTAAACATGCTTTTAGTGTAGAAGGTGTTAAAGTTATTGACGACGATGCCGACGAGACATTGCTGACCTGTCACTATTTAAACGGTCTATGTTACGCTCGATACGACTCAGATCCTCAGTCGCACATAAGCGTAAGATACCTACTTAATACTTTTTTGAGCATAACTAGAAAAGCAACTATTGATGTTAACACAGTAGTCGTGATTTCTATTTTTTCAATTGGGATTTACTCGTTTAGGGTAGGGAAAGAATACCTACCTAGGTACTACCGAGACACTGTATGTCGTAAGAGGCGATGAATCAACAGACACTTAGAAAAGTAGGAAAGGTTCAGGGTTAATTTAGATTTGTATTCCGTTAGGTTGTTCGTAAGCATGTTTGTTATGTCGATTAGAAATATTTCTTCTTACTCGATGGATTGGGGACTTTTGCAAAACTTTCTCCTTTGGCACTTTATTTCTGTGTTGGGAGAATGTATCCCGCAATCACCCTCGTTGTTAGTGTACATCCCCTTTCCTTCTCACCATTGTCAGTTCGAACGGGTGCTATTAAAATAATCGGCGGATGTCTGTCGGTGCGGCGCTGGTTAGGGTAAATACTACACTTTTACATTTTGCAAATGGGTTGTTTCCTGCCATCGTAGGTAAAAGATGTGGTGGAGATGAACTCAATATATTATGTATGTCGAGTTTTGTTCGTCCTTACGATGACCCCTTTCTGCTCAGAACCACTTAGTTAATATTATGTTTTATTCATGAATACTATTGTAGATTTGGTGGTGATCTCAATATTATTCATATCATTCTTAGTTTTTCAATTTATGTTTAAATTTTATGGAATTGTTTGGAATGCTTAGAAGATTACCTTTCTTTCGTCCTAGTTTCAATTTTCGTTCAAATTTATTGCAGATATCCATGCCCGAACCCGGCTTCGAACCAAAGGACTCTTAGTACCGCAGTCCAGCTGCAATGGAATTGTACGTGTGTCGTCGAGTGTTCGGGTGATTTTGTAACATCGCCGTATGCAAAGGTTGTGTTTGTGTGTTGTTGTCAATCGTGTCTGCAGTTTATTTACAGTAAATGGACTAGCAGGGTACTTTAGGGCTCTGCGGCTAGAGGCGCAAAGGGTTGTAGTTGTATCCGAATCGCCTTTTGGATATCTTGAAATACCGCAAGGGTGCAACCTATGTGCTTGAAAAGGAGTGTGGGCGAAAGAAGGTTATATTTGACATTTACTCAGAGATTTTTGGTGACTATTTGATCAAAATATTTACTGATGCAACTGAGAAATGACATGGTAGTGCATAAGACGGCACGTTTACGGGAATGTCTTTTGGTTCAGGGTTCATGGATATACAGAAGGGTTTTCAGGGGTTGTTGAATGCAACCGGTAATAAATATATCAGCTATGCGGGTGATTGCAACCGGAGAGAGGCGTCTCAGTACTAGTCCTGGAGCCGAGTTTTGTCCATGTTTAAGGGTGGTAACGGGGTGCGATTCCGTTTAAAACGAGTTCGTCAGGTACAGGATGTCCGGTTCTTGAAAGTAATCCGACAGCTGATCAACCAATTGCTTAAGTTTGAGATCAAAATGAGGTAGGTTTGGAGATCGTGTTCCCTTGTAGGTACCTAACGAATAAGTTAGGCTTGTCTTTGCTCGAAGAAACAAAGTTGCTTCCGTGGTAAATGAGGTGGGAAAGGGGAATGCATTTCTGTCCCATTACAGTGTTGAACGCGAGTCAAAACCCGCCTGCATCTCTGTAATCCAGAAGGGAAATGGCCCTTGCCCAGTTATCTTCTGTTGATCTACATTTTTAATTTGTTGTTACTAGCCGTCGCGAATTTGGACAGTCTTCTCCGAATTGCCGGGTGCCACCCTGCATTAAAAGCGTTGTTTAGATCCAATGTAATTACAGCACTGTACAGTTTATGTTGTTTATTACTCCCAAAGGTGCTTCTTAAATTTTGAGTTGCTTATACGGTGGACCTCTCTGCACTAAAACCGTAATGGTTATATTCTAAGAGCCCGCGACGCAAACCATTACCATTCAAATAGCAGCATAAAACGGATACATGAACAAGTATTGGAGGTGACCATACACGAAACGCTCGGTCTGCCGGACCGCATTTAGCCGGAAGGTAAACAAATTCAATTGTTTATAAGGATGATAATTGCGAATTCTTTACTTTTGAGCTAGCAAGTTTCTGAGATCATGACATTGTAGCTGAGGCTTTCCGCTACAAATAAATTTCTACGGTCACTCTGATCCAAGCATTTTAGTTCTGTACCAAAGAGTAAATAACCATAAACCTCTACAACGGATTTAAAAAAGCGAATGAGCTCCTCAGTTTGACCCTACGGGGTCACTGAACATTTAGTCTGCTGCTGGAATCCCACAGTTAGCTCAAAATATAAGAGAATCATTCAATTCAAAAACAAAACCGTACAAGCTCTGAAGCTCATCAATGAGATTGCAAAAGCAGGTCAGCTGAAGTAATGAAACAATTGTAAAGTGAAGAAAAGTATTAATTTCATATTTAAGTAATTTAAGTAATGATTTCTGACATGATGAAATTGGCTGGTATACCTCACAATGGGGTAGCTCGATCAGGAATGGTAAAACAAGAAATCTCCCCACGCATCCAAAATTTAATGACAATTAACCAAACCAAATTAACCAAAGGTTAGACGTTTCTTCCTGTTAAGCTGTGGTCCGCGTTGGGGCCTCCCTTTTAATTTTATTTAAATTATGTTATAAAAAAGGATTGTTTGTGGTCCTTCAGACACAACAACCTGAAAAATGTTTGAAATTTAAATGTGTCGTCTTGAAATTTAATCTTTTTTTTCCTCTTGCTATCACTCATGTAATGATAAATTTTATGTAACACTTGATAATGGAGCGAGTTGCGTTTCGAAACATGTCGTGTTTTTCATCAGTACTACCTGTCAACTTTAATTGTCATTAAATTTTGGATGCGTCAAGAGATTTCGTGTTTTACCATTCCAGTAATGATTTGTTATGAAATATACCCCTTGCCGCCAGTCTGACAAGGCTATCCGGCCGCGCGAGGGGTGACAGACCTTAACAGGATTGTAGCGGAAAGCCTCAGCTACAATGTCATGATCTCAGAAACTTGCTAGCTCAAAAGTAAAGCATTCGCAAATATCATCCTTATAAACAATTGTTGTTTACCTTCCGGCTAAATGCGGTCCGACAGACCGAGCGTTTCGTGTATGGTCACCTCCAAACTTGCTCATGTAAGTATCATATATATTATATTGTTCGGGAATGGGTTTGTATCGACGATCAAAGATTACAAAATGCTTTATTTCCACTCCACAACAATTAGATGTAATTTCCAAACAAAAACCTAACATACACAAATAAATGCAAAAGACAATTTCAAGCGCCACACTTACCTAACACCAGCCTTTTCACTTCAATTAATAATTATAAAAATCTGGTAAATATGGCCTTATGGCTGTTACGAGTCTACATAGGAAATACCGCCTAATCGCATTACGTTGCCTGCGCAATACGTAAGTTGATATACAACTTTAAAATATGAAAAGCACTTGAATAAGGCGCCAAATTTGAATTTAAAACACTGAAATTGTTAGTTAAGACTGGTTACGGTAATTGTGCTACATCATAGCCCCCCAATTTTACAAGACGAAGGCTATTGCATTTGCATAGGATTGTAAAATTTTTTTAAATGGCTAGCATGAAAAGTCCCCCTTTCAGCGAGAGTTACCGGATCAACTATTACGTATGTGGCATAGCTAACCGATTTTTTTATTTTGTACGGACCTTCGAATAACAACATAAATTTTTTTGTTTCCGCTTTTATTGCCGAAGAGACAACGTTCGCTCGCAACAGTACGTAATCTCCCTCTTCAAATTCCTGAAAATGCGATCCCGGATTAGCAACTGCTCTACGAGCCGCCTTACTCTCCATCGACTCTCGCGCTAAAACAATTTTACGCTCTACGGTAATTTTCTCATTTACTGGACCTTGCTTGTTTTTAGGAAGTAACTTTGCTCTATCGCTTCCAAATTGCAACTCAATTGGAGAAAATCCCGTGGTTTCGTGTATGACGGAATTTAATAAATTTTCAAAATTTGCCAATTCGTACGCCCAACGTGTATGTTGGTCGGCGCAATACGCTCGACACATCCGGCCTAACTCCTTCATAATCCGTTCTGACGGATTGGATTGGGGATGGCGTACTGACGAAAATTTTACCTTTATATTAAATGACTCTAACGATTCCTTCCATTTCGGTGATTTAAACTGTGTGCCGTGGTCGCTTAGTATATTTTTAGGAATGTTAATGTCTACAAAGTAACTCTTAATTATTCTATTTAAACATGACCGTGTGGTGGCTTTCTTTAGCGCGTAAAATTTTACATATTTTGTGAATACGTCTAACAAAACCAAAATAAAAGTAACCCCACCCCTACTCGTGGGTAAAGGGCCATATAAATCTAAAGCCACTAGTTCTCCTTTTGTTTTGGGAACAATCGGTCTTAACGGTGGGTTAGACATTACGCAATGTTTGGTCTTCTGACAAATTTCACAACCTTGGATGTACCGCTTGACATCCCGCGACATGTTATTCCACCATAATTCACTTTTAAGCGCCCTCCACGTTTTGTAGGCTCCGAAATGACCTAATCTTTCATGGTAATCCCTCACGAATTGGAACGTTAAAGAATTTGGTACACATAGTAAGTAATATTCCTCATTATTTTTTCGAATGTACAGTGCATTATTGTATATAATAAATCTTTGCTGCAGTTTTGGATCGCGGTCAAAATTTTTCATTATGTCTCCAAGTTTTTTATCTGCAGCTTGAGCTTGGGTTATGGTCTTTAAAGATTTAGTTAGCTCGTCCGATAACCTTAGTAATGGTAAAATTTTAAACAACCGATCACTAGGTGATGGGGGTCTAACCGCTGCATAACGCGAAAGGGCATCCGCTACCACATTTTTGGATCCCGGAATATGTTCTATTGTAAAATCATATTCCTGAATGGCCAACGCGTATCGCGCAATTCGCGCCGACAATAACCTACAAGTTTTAATATAAGTTAGTGACGAATTATCAGTAAAAACGGTGAATTGCTTTCCCAATAAATATATACGAAATTTACCGAGCGCCCAAACTAACGCTAAAAGTTCCCTTTCATAGGTAGTATATCGCGTTTCCCTCTCATGCAACATTCTACTAGCCCATGCTACTACGTGACGTTCCCCATTAACGGTTTGAAAAAGGTGAGCTCCTAATCCGATATCCGATGCATCGGTGGAAAGACCAAAAGGTAAATTCTCTCGCGGATGATAAAGTAAAGTCGCTTTACGTATTTTTTCCTTCAATGACTCCAACGCATTTTGCTCGGTCGCCGTCCATTGCCATGCTACGTTTTTTCTACACAATTTGTTCAACGGCGCGGCCGCTGAGGATAGCTCCGGACAAAATGCTCTGTCGTAATTGACTAGCCCTAGAAATTTTTGAATTTCTTTTACATTGCGTGGGACTGCGTAATCGATCACCGCTTGTACTCTATTTGGGTCAGGCTTTATTCCCGTACAGTTTAGTATATACCCTAGGTAAGGCACTTCTTGTCGAAAAAATGAACATTTGTTTAATCGTAAAGTAAAATTTGCTTCTCTCAGACGCGAAAAAACTTTGTCTAAATGAGCGATGTGTTCATCAAAACTTTGTGACGTAACCAACCCGTCGTCCACATACAAAACTAAAAACGAACGGAAATCATCCCCAAACACACTATTCAGGCACCTTACGAACGCACTGACGCTCGTTGATAACCCAAAGGGTAATGTGCAAAACACATAAGTTTTACCGTCAAACCGGAAGCCGGTATATTTTTTAGATTCTTCCGTAAGCGGAATTTGCCAATAGCCGTGAGTAAAATCAAAAGTACTCATATATTTAAAACTAGGGATATTGCGAACGATTTCCTCGATAGGTAGCGGCGTCTCGTACTCGCGTTCCATCACCGAGTTTAAATGTCTCGCGTCCAAACAAACACGTACGGAGTTATCCTTCTTCAGGGTAGTCATAATTGGATTTATATAGGGAGTTGCACAACGTTGTATAACACCCCATTGCACCATCAAATTAAGTTGGTTTTGAATTGCTTCTCTGTGAGCAAGCGCTACCGGATATTGTTTTTTAAAAAATTCGCGCTTGTCCTTGAGGCGGATCTCATGAGCATAACTCTGAGTACGACCCGGTTTTTCCGAAAAGAGCGTTCGATGCTCTTCCAACAGCTCTCTAAACACGATTTTTTCCGATGAGCTTAACTTGCATTGATCTACAATAGCAGATAATTGTTCGTCGGAAGGCCCATAATTAACCACCTCTTCCACGCATAACAATTGAATGGATTTATGTTTAATAGGCCGCATTTCTAACGAACCCTGATTTGTTAATTCATGGCTATGTTTTATTTCAGGAACGGCTACCCATTTGTCATTAATTTTTAGGAACACTTGTTGGGCCCCCAAATCAACCTTTGCACACCATGATCTTAACAAATCATTGCCAATTATTACAGGATATACTAGCTCTGGGATTAACAAAAATTCGAAATTAAATTCGTTTCCTAACACCTGGCAAGTAATAAGCGACTGCTGTTTCACTCGTCTTTGTTTACTTTTAAACGCGCCGGACACTTTTATCCCCGAACTAGAAATTGAGGCAATTTTGTGATGATAATCTCCTAACTGCGACCAAACCTGTTCACTAATAGCGCAAATTTCGCTGCCAGTATCTACTAATGCTGGAAAATAAAATCTGTACATGCATATTTCAATTATTGGACAATATGGCGTTATTGTGTTATGTTCAAAATTACATCCTGGTAATAGGTCTTCTGCAAGATTATTGAAGTTTACTTTATCGGCCCTTATTACTGCCCTCACAAACGGACCTAATTTTCGTGAGAGTCCCCGTCGTTTCCCGAAAGGATGTCATGGTTATCCGCTAGTGAGTCGCTTTGAACTTCAACCGTGGGTATTTTTTGATCAAATTTGTTTTTATTACGAAAAACGTTACTTTCCTGAGCGCGCGCGGCGTTATCGCCCCACGAATTTCTATTATACTGAAACCTTGGTTTTTGCAACACTTCGCGATTACTGATTTGTTTTTCTACTTCCACGTTTTTAACCTCAGGCGCAAAATAATACTCAGCCTGCCGCAAACGTCCTATCGCATCCGCAAAGCGTTTCATCCCTACCAAATGAGTTGCAATATGGGGAGGATAATTTCTGGATAGCTTCTGGATAATGAAATGCTCAGGATATGAAATATGTTTCGCTAGTGCCACACTACGCATAAAATGCTGACTGAATGACCCCATGCTAGCGTAGTATTTATTTTTTTCTAAATTATATAAACATTCAGATTGAATCACATCTGACCAGAAAAAATCTCGAAAGCCTGCTTTAAATTCGTCAAAATTTGAAAAAGTATGCATATGCGTTTGACTCCACGATAAGGCTTCGCCTCGAAATTGATTCGCAACTACCATTCTGAAGTATGAATACGGTACCTTATTCAAATTATAATAGCAATCTACCTGCTCCAAAAATTCCAATGGGTGAACCATGCCCTTATTGTCAAAGATTGGAAGCCTTTTGTTTATATCAAATTTATTAAACTTACGTATAGCGTCCTCACACGCACTGCGATCATCTATTTCAAACATATCTGGGTTTGGCATAAATCCCTGCACGTTATCGTTTCGTGATAACCTGGTGTTTGGTACTTGCCCGCTTTGCTGCAATTTTTCAATCACCTGTGAAACAATGTCTGTTACTAACTGGTTTACATTATGGTTGTTAGAACAATGATTTGATGTACGATTACTATTTACAATATTACGAGTACTACAGAATCCATCTTCTTCCCACGGAAAAGCTTTAGGTTTTCCCATCGCCTTCTCCTGTTCACATAAGGTCTTCTGATTACCGCCTTCTTCTCTTCCACCTTTCTCTCTAATCAATTTGTCTTCTTGTGGTAGACCTTGATAACCCGCTTCTACCATATGGGGTTGCAAACCTGATGCACTCTCCATTTCTGCTGGATTGATAGTCCCCAGCTGCTTCGGATGTTTTTGCCCTGCCATGTAGCTTTGAAAAAATTCAGGAACCGACATATCGGTAGCTGCGTCCTGCCTGTCGTTTATCGGAACACTCGATACTCGCTGATAAAACGGACCCGATGATGATTTAAACAATTCTCGCCTCGTCAGTGGTGTTATCTGTTCCGCTTCGTTCTGCGATACGCCACCCGCTGCCGTAACATATTGCTGCTTTGGGATGGCCCCTTGTCGCACCTTACTTCTCAGGTTGTATTCGCCTGCAGTTTGTTCATGTGGTGTGCGATCCGTCGGCATTTTGCAGTTATTCCTTTAATCGCCTCACGTTGGGCGCCAGATGTTCGGGAATGGGTTTGTATCGACGATCAAAGATTACAAAATGCTTTATTTCCACTCCACAACAATTAGTTGTAATTTCCAACAAAAACCTAACATACACAAATAAATGCAAAAGACAATTTCAAGCGCTACACTTACCTAACACCAGCCTTTTCACTTCAATTAATAATTATAAAAATCTGGTAAATATGGCCTTATGGCTGTTACGAGTCTAAATAGGAAATACCGCCTAATCGCATTACGTTGCCTGCGCAATACGTAAGTTGATATACAACTTTAAAATATGAAAAGCACTTGAATAAGGCGCCAAATTTGAATTTAAAACATTGAAATTGTTAGTTAAGACTGGTTACGGTAATTGTGCTACAACTGTTCCAGTGAGGACTCATTGGATACAGTAAAACAAGCCTGAATATCCGTTTGTACTGGAGCTACCGGCACCTTTCCCATTACAACATACCCCAAAGTAGTTTGAAGAGCAATTGGTTTTCCGGCTGTACCCAATACTCTACCAGAACCAATTAAACAAGAAAATGTTTCCGCCCCTAGAATCCCATCCACTTCTCGAGATTGGTAAAATAAATCATCAGCCAACGGAATATCTCTCAAATGAGAACAGCCGTCGGTATCAACTTGAAGCCTAGGAAGTTTATCCGTAATTTTTTCGACTATTAACACCTTAAGTGCATATTTACAATTCCGATTATGACGAGACGCGATCAACATCTGCCATACCCCTTACCGGTTCCGACACCTTACCTAATCCCTGCACCGAGGAATAACATTTCGAAATTTTAATACCCAAATTTTTGCAACACCTAGTCGTTAACAGGTTCGCTTGACTTCCGCTATCCAAAATAAATCTAGCTGTTTGACCTCCAACCTGACAATTTAGAATATCGACCACCGCGGTTGATAACAAAACCGTATGCTTAGTAGGCATCGGATTGGCTGTTGCCTCCTCCGTCGAGCACAGGTTAGTCACCAATCCTGAACTCTCCGCTAAAACCGATGGCCTCTGCACATCCAAATCTGCACTTCCCCTCGAAGACCCTGTCGCCTCGTTTAGCCTTTCCCTATTTGGCCTACCCATGTGTAGCAGAATGTGATGCCTTTTTTGACATTCGATACACGACCGATCAGATGTGCAGAACCGTACACCATGATGTGGAGATAAACAATTATAACACCAATTATTTTTTCTCACCGCTTCATACCTCATAGCCGGAGTCAACCGCTTAAATTTGTCGCATCTAGTTAAATAATGCCACCCCTTATGACAATAAATATAACTGTTTCCAGTATGAGAAGTGGTAGCCGCATTCTCCTCCTTAGGAGCCTCATTGACCAAAAAAGACTTTGATATTTTTCCTACGCTTTCACCCAGATTTCCCGATTTTAGTGGTAGCTTCTTATTCAAACTTAATATTTTTGACTGGTCTTTTACAAACGTTATGATATCCTCGTTACAGATTTCTCTCAGAATTGACAAACACTTTACGGAAGACTTATTTTATAATTGAGGAGATAGCTAGGTTTGAAGTGTTTTGTGTATGATCTTTTTGGCCTGGTATCAATGCACACAGCAATATAAACAGGTTGGATGCACAACTTTGATTAATAAATTGGTTATTTACATAACTTGCCATTACACATTTGACGCAACGGAATGTTTTGCATCTTGGACTCCAAACGCTTTCGTAGTAACAATTTATTTAAATGCGAACACCTCAATCCAAGTATACACCGAAACGAAAAAAGGTCCTTATTGATACGGTGACGTTCGAAGGGGAAACTTCAAACCCACTACGAGTTGTATAAGGCGTTCCCCAGGGTGCCATTCTCAGCCCTCTCTTGTTCAACATTTATACAACTAGATTACCATTAGTGATAAAAAACTGTAAATACCATCTTTATGCAGATGATACGCAGCTGTATCTATCCTTTAAATATGCTGAATTACGCACTGCTCAGCTCAACATCAATGATGACCTGGAGAGAATTGCACCTATTCTAAATTGCACCATTTAATAATGAACCCGAAAAAAACGCAGATGGTTTTGTTTGGACCCAAGACAGTACTTGATTCAGTGCGCAGGGAACTTGATGTACGTATAAATGGCGAACGAATTCCGGCTACTGAATGCGTCAAAGACTTAGGCATGCACCTTGACTCTAGTCTCAGATTCCACGCAAATATTTCATCACTAGTCAAGCGTGCGTTCATTTCGCTGAAGCAATTATACATTCAACGCCATTTTTTCGACACTGCGGCAAGGAACATTCTATGCAATGCACTTGTCTTGTCGTGTTTTAATTTTGGCGATGTTATCTACTCATCCTGTATCACCAAAGCAGATTCGGCGAAAATTCAACGCGTCCAAAATTCCTGCATAAGATTCACCTATGGCCTGAGGGGTAGACGTGGCATTACAGAAACTCTACGCAACAATAATATTTTATGCATGGAAGAGAGACGATCTGTTCATTCAGCTGTATTCTACTGGCGAATTTTTGAAATGAAAACGCCACTCTCTCTCGCCATAAAAGTTACCTCCCGTTCTAAAAACCAACTAAGAAGTGGTAGATATCGTCAGTTGCTATAGTGATACCCAAGCATCGCAAAGAAATCTTCAAAACATCATTTAGTTACAATATGGTGAAAACTGTCAACTTTATCTTAACAGAACCAGGCATACTTCAAGGCTCCGTGGCATCACTGAAAAGAACGATAAAAGCGCATATATTGGCTACACGACGAGTATGAATTACTGTCAACAGTTTCTTTTTTTTTTGTTCTTGTTTCTTTATCTTTCCTTTACTTTCGAGTGTATCGAGTTTTTTTTTGTTTTTTTGTTTTTTTTTCGTTTGTCAAGGTCAATGGTAGAACGCTTGATGCAGACCTTTCTGCATTTAGGCGAATTGATCTTTTTGGCTGAGATTGTTTACTTACACATTATATATACCTACGTCTTTTTTTTGTATTCTACATATATTCAGTCAATAAAGTACAATTATTATTATTATTATAATTATATATAAATCCGAGATGGGAAACTTACTCAATCGTTAATAGACCACATACAGTGAATTTTTTTTAAATGCGAACATAGGAGTTTGTATGCAATGTAATTTCCCTATGTTCGATTTAAAAAAAAACACATCAATCTATTGAGTAGTTCAAATGAGTAGTAGATACAATTGACAGCTGTCACATTTTTAAAAATACCGCCGTTCAATTTAATTACGAAATCGGTTAGGTTATTGCTTAGAATGTCAAGGAGGGCACTTCGAACATTTATTGTAATTGTTTGCGTTATTTATTTTCTTATTTTCTTCATTTATGTATTGAATAAATCAAATTAGTAGAATACCAGGTGCACATGACCTACAAATAATTGAAGGTTGGTTCACAATGAATTGTGATGTCAGCGCGTGCCATGTGAAGTCAAGTTATCGTAAGTTTAAGAAAAATTTATCCTAAAGTTGCTATGGCCTCACATGGCTTAATTAAAAGAATCTTACCGAGTGCTCTTCATCATAAAGACTATGAGTTGCTGTTCATAGTCACACAAATTGCCCGGTTTGGGAATGTGAACCGCGCACATCTCATATATTGATGTGTTTTTTTTAAAATCGAACATAGGGAAATTACATTGCATGCAAACTCCTATGTTCGCATTAAAAAAAACTCACTGTATATATTCGTACTCACAGCAAAGACGTGTATTCAACGGTAATACACAACAGACTGTCGGATCATTATCCAGTTTGTGCCTCCATCGCACTAGATCAAATCATTGAACAACCTAATGCAAAAACAAGACGAAACTTTAACGGAAGAAAGCTCAAACAATTAATTAATGAGAAAAATTGGATTCTCGAAGCAGATAATGATGTGAATCAATATATGCGAAATATTATAACAAGCATGCATGAAATTTATAGTAGTTCGGTTATAACAAGACAGGAAAAATATGATAGGCCAGTAAGAAAAGATACTGCTTGGATAACCGTAGAACTTTATAACAAAATTAGAGAAAGGGACAGACTTTTCAAAAAGTGGAAATCATCTCCCAATAACATTCAACACAAAGAAGCCTACAAAAAATTCCGAAACCGGGTAAATAATGACATACGACACCAAAAGAGAAAATATTACAACAAGAGGTTTGAGAACATCGAAACAGATCCTAGCGCAATTTGGAAGGAAGTAAACAACGTGTTATATCGAACAAAAAGCAAGAGTGTAGATGACAAAATATTAAACACAATTGGAAAGGATACAGATATAGCATACATAGTAAATCAATTCGCCGACCTTTACTCAAATCAAATCAATGATCTGAAGCGACAATGTACTCACATGGTTAACGTTACAGTCAAAGAAAATGAATTAAATTGCCGTTTTTTTTATACCTTATCCTAAACAAAAGGACATAGAAGAAATAATTAACAATCTAAAAATTAATAAATCCCCTGGCCATGACAATATACGGGCTACCGAAATTAAATATAACGCACCGATTTTTGGTCTAATATTATCAGAAATGCTAAAACTATCACTAAAGAACGGAACCTTTCCAGACGAGATGAAGATATCGATTACACGGCCAATATTTAAAAAAGGCGACCCACTGGATCTAAACAATTATAGACCTATTAGCATCTTGCCGGTTTTTGAAAAAATTTTTGAAGTTTACGTCGTGCGTCAGTTTAGAAGGTACTTAGAAGGAAATGAAATAATAAACAACAACCAGTACGGATTCCAGCGAGGCAAAAGTACTGAGCAGCTTCTAAGTAAAGTTAATGACTATATCAATAATAATTTAGATAAAGGTAGATACACGATAGCAGTGTATGTCGATTTCACTAAGGCTTTCGACACAGTTGACCATACAGTATTATTAAAAAATTTACAAACTTGTGGTGTAATAGGGAAAGAACTAAAATGGTTCCAGAGTTACAACATAGACATTTCTTAGTGAAAATTTGTCGCGAGTACAGTGAACTCAAGTCGTGTCCTTTTGGTGTACCACAGGGTAGTAATTTGGGACCGATACTTTTTTTAGTTTACGTAAACGAACTTTTTAGTGCCGTTAAAAAATGTGAGATGTACATGTATGCTGATGACGCCATCCTTCTGTACGGCCATAATAACATAGAAGTCTGTGAAGCGGTAATACAGAGTGATGTGAATAACATTCTTAAATGGACACACGGTAGAAGTATATTTGTTAATACGAATAAGACTGTTTCTATGACTTTCAAAACTGCGCACATGTCTTTAGCTAGGCAAACTAAAATTAAGCTACATACTTGTTATTGTCTAGTCAAAGGTTCTGTCAATAATTGCCAATGTA